TAATTTTCTTAGAAAAATTACAAAAAAAAACTCTTTCTTAGAAATAAAACTCTTTATTTATGATTACTTTTGCTTGTTTGTGGGATGATTTTACAAGTGAACCAAACATCTCTATTTATACTAGTTAAACTACATCTAGATCCTTCTGTTATTCTTATCCATAATTTCTTCTACACATTTTTTCTTGTTGGGTTTCTTGGGCCAAGGCTTGTGATTTGATTATTTGTCCAAAACTATGACTCAAAACAAGTTTAACTTTCAACAAATATTTGACCTTGTAAATATAAGAAGACTTATTCTTGGGTTCACCCCCTTAAAACAAAAATTAGAAAAAAATAAATAAAAATATTAATATTTACAAAAAACGAGAAAAAAATCTTTAAAAATATATTTTAACATTATATTATGTTTTAAAATAAAAGATAAAAATAAAATAAAAACAGTAATAATTACAAAAAACAATTTAAAACAAAAAATATTTTAATATATCTTTAAAATAAAAACATGTGTTTAAAATAAAAAGATAAAAATAAATAAAAATTAGTATAATTGGTTAGTATTAATTTACCCAAGGGTTAAGATTTTTCCAAAGGGTTTATGATTTACTCAAGGGTTTAGGGTTTAGGATTAGGGTTTAGGGTTTAGTATTACGGTTTAGGGTTTAGGATTAGAGTTTAGGGTTTAGTGTTTTAGTGTTAAATATTTTTTTAAAAAGTTTTTTTTCGTTTTTTTAATATTGTTATTTTTTATTTATTTTTTGTATTTTTATTTTAAAAACATAATATAACTTAACAAGATTTTATTTCCTTTTAAAAAAATATCAAATATAATAACTCCATCCTATTGGTTGGTGAACCTAGAAGTTCACTCTAGGAGGTGAACCTAAGAATAACTCTATATTTAAATGCGTTCAAAAAACAGAATCACTTAGCAATAGACATTTATGACAAAAGATCCTCATGGATATATAAAAATATCTGTTTGAGATATTCTTTACACTTTCCTATTTTTCTAATTTTTCTTTATTTTGTGATAAGATACTATATTGGTATGTCGGTGTTGCAAAAAAAAAAAACTATATTGGTATGTCAGTATATCTCACTGGATGTGAAAATTGAAAGGCTGAGTATTAAACAATCTGAGGTCTAGATATGTAGAGGAAACCATATCCTTTATATATTAAAAGAGAAGCATTATGATAATGCGTTTACACTACGTTTGCTATGTGGCGTGCTCACATTAATTTGAAATGAGGGAAGCTGACGTGTCAGCTTACTAGAATTTCTCACAAAATTTTTGGAATTTTTAAGCCAAGGTATTTTATTTCTTTCCTAAACTAAACATGAGTACGTTTTATATTTCTCTCATAAAGGATCTGTGAATTTTTTTGATTTGTTTCGATGAACTTGATATGAATCTAATTGTGTCTATTGAAGCAAGTTTAGAGCTGCATCAAGTAAAATGACATATTGATGAATTGTGCATAATCTCGTAGATGCTCATATCAATCGAAGCCACATTTCGAGAAGAAAATCTTCTTTGTTCGATCTTTGTTAAGCATTAGTCTTGGTTGTTCATAAAGGACCATGCATAGGGATGAAAGTTTGCTTAGTTAATGGAGGATTGCTTTGCGTTGATCTGTATTAATCATTAATCTTGGTTCTTCACCACACACAACTGGTTGGTTAAATCCTCTTGAACCATTATTAACCATCGTAATAGTATGTTGAACTTAACTAAATGTGTTCGTTGTTCATTTCGATGGATATTTACATTGCTGGATGCCAAGTTTTGTGAAGCATAGATGCAAGTTTTGACATGCATATGATAGCGAGAACTTAGGGATAAACGTATATGTTGTATTGCTAAGACTTCTATACCAGATAAGAAAAATTAAGATCTTAAGAAATTATTTGATGAGTAGGGAGGTTAATAGCCGGTATACGAAGAGCTAATGTTACCATAGGGTGTTAGAAATATATCAACCAATCGTATTACAATCACATAAATTTGAAACGACTGGTTTTGTTGATGTTATACATATTTGAGAGATTAACGAATAACATAAATGCATACATGTTCATAACAATTTTATGAATAGGGAATAAATTCATAGATTTTCATATCAATGGATGCATAGATTGAAAGCTTTGTTAATCTATTGATGTTATACGAAGGCAGAGAAGCATATTTGTGCATCAAAGTTTGATGTGTAGCAGAGTATAGAAGGCAATGTATGAGGGTCGTAATGTTGTTCGAAGTATGCATGCACGTATGTTTTACATTAAAAAGAATGAGAATGAACAATTGTTGTAGAAGAATGTCTTAGCCGAAATTAAATTCCAATCGGTTAAGAATATAAAACCGATATCAATCAAGTGTACAAATAAAGTTTTAAACTATCTTCTTATGGTGTGGCTAACGAATATGGTTTATAATTTTTTTTTTCAACGATTATTTGGATTTGATTGTATTTTTCATCCATCTAAAATTTACAATATGAAATGCTTGGTTGCCATCATGATTGTCCAAAATTCATATAACATAAAACTAAATAAATATGAGTTGTCTTTTGCTTATCACCAATAAATCAAAAACAGAAACAGTTTAAACCGAACACATAAAATATATGGATTTAAACTCTAATTTTACAATAGTATATTAAGACCTGATAAAAACAACCCAAAACCAACTAATATCCAAATTAAACCGAACTAATGCTTAATTCTCTGAAAAATCTATATTTATAAAGTTAAGTTTTATCTCTCTAGGCTCTAGGAGAGCCATATCATCAAATAATGTTACTACAGCTTGACACCTGTCCAAAACCTAAAGAAAAATCGTTGTTTCTTTTGTTTCGTTTGAATATTGGCTTTACGAGTTAATAATAAATGGGCTTCGAATAACATTATTTGGGCTCATAAAACAAACCTAAGAACAGCTAATTTTTCACGTCACAATTCACCCTTCGTCTTCTTCACTATTCTCGATGTTTTATTTCTAAGGTTCATGCAAACATTGGTTAGGTCAAACAGTAATGGAGTTCAGAAAATTTGTGTGAGACGAGTTTTCGTGAGAAATGACTTCGTTGATCTTAATTTAGTGTCGTTTCGTCTACGATTCATCTCCTCTGTTACGTTACGGGAACATTGATTCATCCCCATTAACAATCATCTTATTCCTTCAACCCACACCAATCACAATGAATCATTCAATGTTTCTCATCTTCCAAGCGGTGGATCTACACCTATAAAAAGGTGAGTTCATTGGTTTGTATTCGCAGACGGAGTTGAATAACCTCACGGAAAAAACTCTGTATATTCCCGTTGCTTCTGTCGGGACCGTTAATATTCATAGATGGATCTATGAGACGTGGTCAGGTTCTAGAGGTTAAGGGAGGAGAAAGCAATTGTTCATAGAAATGATTCTTATGTGTTATCTAACTTTATGGATATTGTTAATGTTGATCCTAAATTGTCCACTTAGTATTTCCTTGCTGTTAACAATACTTGGACATGTAAAAAATACATCTTGCAATACACATGGCTGGAAGATGAGTTAACCTAACAGAATCTTCATGGTCGACCTTTCTATCATTCATCATGGCACAACATCTATGATTACCAATTTACCATTATATGGAAGGTGATACCATGAGAGTGATGTATGAGTCATGGTTTGTTAATTACAAAGTCGATGGTTTTTTCTCAGGTCATGTCCATGCATGCGAAAGATTAGTTAGAACATAAAACTATAGCTCATCATGTTTTATTTTAACTATATAGAGTGGCATCTTTCACCTTTTGTGAAACGAAAAGACGCGTATCAAACACCCTGGTTAATGGCATTTGTAGTCCAATATAAGATCCATCTCCTCCTGTCTACATCACCATTTGTGATGGAGGAAAGTTTGAAAGATTGGCTACCAAGTAAGCTATATAATAAATGACTTTTTGTCATCCAATTTTCTTATTATACTTTTTGAAGTGTGATATGATTTCTGCATAGTGACTGACCATCAGCCTAAGTACTTTGCTAGAGAGAAGCGAGCTCGAGAAATTTCTTTTGTTGTATGCAACATTTACGATTGAATAACGCTGAATAACGACTAAAGGTGTTTGTTGCTACAAACATCATACGTAAGTTGGTAGTAGGTAAGAAGTTGACTAACACATGTAAATTTAAGGTCTGGACATGTTAATTGTTTCTATGTGTTTTAATTCTAGGTCGGCTCTTTCTCAATGGAAACTCCGGAAATAATTTCGATTCTAAAAATTATAAATAGTTTAAAGAAAGGTGAAACATGTCTACAATTCAGCCAGTTATAATTTTTTAGCTATTTATATTTTTTTAGTAGACTATAATATTTATATATTAAAGTAGAAATACTAAATATATAATCAGAATTAAAATTTAAACAAAATCTCGGGCGTAGCCCGGGCCAATCCTAATAATGAAAATAATAACTTCATTATGCGCAAGACGCGGATATTATCCTAGTGTAAAAAAAAAGACATGTAGAGGAAGCCATATGTCTCTTTCTTCTGGCATCATCTCATAGTTAGCTTCTTCAAGTAATACTAACAAGTTTTTTTTGTGTGCATGTTCAGAGATATACCGAGGAAGCCGTAACTCACATCTCCCAGACCCTGGAGCTGAATGTGAGTTCTGGAGTTTGTTATGAAAGAAGACCAACAGCTTAAACTTAAAGCTTTGACCAAAAAATGAAAAAAACTTAAAGCTTTAGATGATTCTCTATGAGTCCATTAAACATAACCCAAACTAATTGTGTTGTACTCAACGAAATCACAAGTAAACCGGTTTAAAATTCTTAAAAATAAACAAAACAAATCGAACTTGTCGATAAAAACAAACCAAACCGTTGGGTTGTCAATTCTTAATTTAAAATTTTAAAAAGTGTAAAAATAAAAAGCAACCTCCACTAAAATTAGAAAAAGAAAACTGTTGACAGAAAAATAGATTAAAAATAGCCTTCTCACAAGCACACAAGCGCTGTGCTATTTACAGTTACAAATAGAGAATTTAGAGACCAAAGACGAAATCAAATCAAAAGAGAGAGAGAGGTTATGGAGAGAACAAACGATCCCCATCATTCCACCGCCGATCTTCTCTCGTGGTCCCAGATCCACCACTCCTCCGCCGCTAATCCCTCCAACCAGGTCCGTTCTCCGCCCATATAACATCTTTCGTGTGTGATTCAATTTCAATTCTAAATTTTCTAAAAAATTTTCAGCCGTCTGATGACATCAGCGACGTCCTTGGCGGTGGTGGCAAAACCACCAACAAGGAAGCCGAATCGCTTAATAAAAAGTAACCGTTTCATCTCTGTCATCGAATAAATATGAATTTCAATATTCCATCTTCATTTATTAGGAAGAAACAATTTTACTTACTGAAATGTGAATTTCTTTGTGTTGGTTGAGAATCAATTTGCGTGATTTAGGGTTTTCGTCGCCAGTCCAGAGATTCATAGGGCTTGAAACCGTTATGTTTCAAGGGCTATATGATATATATTTATTATTTTAAGCACTTAAAATTTGGGGACGCGAGTCAAATGTTTAGTCTTAGTGTCAATCTACAGCCAAATAAAAATAAAATTAAGGATTTAATGTTTGCAAGTACCTTTCAGTGTTTCGTACAAGAAGAACTGTTCTGGCCACAAGCTAAAAGAAATGACTGGTAGTGACATCTTCTCTGATAATGGTAACGTTACCAACGGTGATCCAATTCACACTTCAAGAATCCATTACCATCATGATCAGGTACACTTCTTCTCGTCTCTTCCCAATTCTCTGTAAGGATTCGATTCTGAATGGTTTCTCGTTTTTGCAGGATAGTCAGATATCTTTCAGCGGCGAAGAGAACAACAACGCTGCTGCCACTCCTAAGAAACCAACCGAGACTGCAAAGATAAAGGAGTTGGACAGGTCTGTACAAACACAGGCTGACTCTAAGAGTAAAAAGAAGCAGGTTTCTAACACTAAGAGCAAAGCAATCACTGGTCGTGACATCTTTGCATCTCCTCCTCCTCCTGAAACCCAAGTAGCTGCAACAAAACAACAAGTTAACATGAAGGAATCTGCTAAAGCCTCCAATGTAAGTACTAATGTTTTTACATTGTGATGATATCTGAAACTGACAATTGCTTCTTCTTTTTTTTTTAACAGGGGAAAAGTGGTGATAGTAAAGAACATGTTGTGAAGTCTTCATCAAGGAAGACAAACAGAAACCAACTCACAAGCAATGGTATCTTCAAATCTGATAAAATCCCTCCTGGTTATTCAGAGAAGATGCATAGCTCCGCTAAATCGCGGGAAATGAAGGGAAATAATATCTTTGCAGACGGCAAGTCCGAGTATCGGGATTACTATGGTGGCGCGAGGAGGCCTCCCGGTGGTGAGAGCAGCATTTCTTTGGTCTAAATTGAGTTCTTAATCTGTGTTCAAGTTTTTAGGTGTCCTACGGTCTAGTTTTCCTAAAGATGCTGTGACCAAAGTGGTTTGTGTTCGTGTGGTCGGTCTCTTGACGATGGTCTCATTTATAATATAAAACGTACGCCTTTTGTAGTTCAAATTTCGGACACGATTATAATAAAATAGAGTTTCAGATATCATCACAATGTAAAAAAACGCTGTAGTTCAAATTTCGGGCATGATTATAAAAAATAAACGACTCCACTGGGGATCGAACCCAGAATCTCTGGTTTCGTAGACCAGCGCCTTATCCATTGGGCCATGGAGTCAATTGTTCATATGAAAAATCAAGAACATTCATAAATACAATGCTGTCCAAATAAATGGTTGGGGATGAGATCTGAACTTGATGGTTCGTTAATCGATACCACCTCTAAGAAGTGAAACCTTGCAAAACTCAAGGAAATCACTACAAGAAAGGCGCACAACGACTAACTTTATGCAAATTTCCATCGTAAACTGAGGAGTAACGACATTACAACGAAATATACAATTATCGGAAAATTGATATAATTCGAGGAAACACTTTTATCATAAAACACATGTAATTTTATGATAAATTGCTAAATTAGAAAAAGAGTCGTCATAAAAGTGTTGCAAAAATTGACAGACTGTTGACAATGAAATAGTTTACAATTCATTATTAATAACGAACATATAAGTAAAAATAATGGGGATGATTGGTTGAACTGTAGCTGTAAATTTTTTACTGTAGAAATTAGTCTGTAGAATTTTTATTTAGGTAAGAGATGTAGCTTCAAAATTTATTGCTACAACAACATATTTTCTAGAGCAAAAAGATGTGGTTTTAGAAAATAAGGATTTTACAACCATTTTTTTTTTTAATTTTTTTGCTATAGTTTAAAAAATGAGATAAAGCATGATTGGTGATTTAAGTGTTGTAGATAAAAATTAAAGCTAAAGTTAACATTTACAACCCAACCAATCACCCCCAATATGTAAGTTGGAACAGATTTTGATGGATATTTCATGAGATTACTAAAGTAGAATTTCAAGAATTGGTAAAGATAAAATATGTTATCTTCAAGTGTGAATGAATCGATCATATCGTCAATAAATGTCTTCAGTATAAAAAAAGTTAGATTTTTTTTTTTAGTTATAGATCAAGATACAACAAATCTAAGATATTTGAAAAACTAACTATTTATTTGATCCGTATAATTGTGAATACGGATACATATGATAGATTAAGCAAATGAAGATAAGTTTGATGAGAGCGTTGATCAATGTAGTGATGATAACTCGACTAATGAATCAGAATGAAGTTTTATTCTTATAATGTTTATGTTCAAACAATGTGTTTTCAATATATATAAGAATTTATACTTGATGCATTTGTATTTGTATGAGTTTTATATGTAGTTATTATGAGTTCACATGAGTTATAGGTTTAATGTTTCATTTTTACAAATTGTCTATATTTTATCACGTTTTTACAAGGGTTTATCGTAAACCGGTACTTAACTAACCATGTACTTATGATGATTCATGTAATTACGTGGTTAGATGGAAATTTTACGGAGTACGTTTAGGGATTCAACTTATGAGATTAACTTGTTAAAGTAAATAGAAAAATTCTCTAGAATAAATGCTCAAAAGTTTTTGTCACAAATATATGCCTTAACAATAAAAATTACCAAATAGTATTATTTTAGAAAAAAAAGTAAATATATACTTATATCATTTGGGTTAACTAATCCTAAATTTTTTTGTTTAATGTTGAGAAGTGAGGTTTTAGGTATAGGATTTTAAATTTTTAAAAAACTAAAAAAACTAAAAAAATTTAAAATAAAAAATGATATTTTGATGATTTTAGTTTTTGAGTCTATTTTTGTAATAAAACTTAAAAAAGTCTATTTGAGAGACTCACTCAAGTAAATATAAAACAAGGATCCTAGTTGTTTCTGGGTTTAATTTTTCTTCTCTGGATTCTTCATAAACAGAAATATAGATGATATGGCAGGTGCTGAGAAGATTGTATGTCTTGCAAAATCCATATTTTTTTGTGAGTTATTACATGTCTTCTTAATATGTTTTGTTAAATAATAAAATATTATAATTTGAAACAATGATTTTAATTTCTGTGTAATATTCTTATTCATATAAGTTTATATAAAAAAGTATCATGTTCTTAGACAACGTTAATGAAGTGGCAACATTTATATAGATGTGGTATTATTAATTGGATAAAAGTTTGCTATGTCTGACTCATAAAAATATCTTATTTTTTGTTTTAATTTTAATTATACGATAGAACATCTATAAATTAATACTTGATAAATTAATAACTTCTGTAACTGACAAATTTTATCGATTCCAATTTGGATCAGTTTGACACAAATCGATAAAATAATAAGATAATATTTTTTTTAAAAAAAAATCTATATAAATATATGATCTCATTTTATTATAAGTTAATAATTTATATGTATAATATTTTATAGAAGTAAGAATCTATCATTATATTTTTTTTTGTTTTGTATTCACAATGAAATTATTTTTATATTTTCTTAACATTAAATATATTTTTGATGAGCATTTAACTTCTTTGGAAGTTATATTATATACATCACATAATATAATAAAATTAATATAAATTTTAAATTTCAAAATAATAATTAACATCTATACACGAAGATCAATATTTTCTTATCTTAAGATAAATATATCATAAAATAAGAAATCTAAATAAAGAAAATTTTGAAAATTAATATCTCTATAACTTAATAAAACTTCAAAATATTAACAAAAATTTTACTGTACAAAAATATTTAATATACTTAAAATTGTAGACCTATATAAGAAACAAATCTAGGAAAATAACTTAGAATTAAATATTGGATAAGTTTGAAAATGATATGGTTCACAAGCTTTGTTCTAGTATATAAGATACAATCTCATGACTGAAACATTTTTGTCCCCAGATAACTTCAGTCAAATCAATTCGAAAACATTCTTATGGCTCCTCCAAGAGATCCACACTACCTAAGCTATTTCACAAATGAATGTAGCTTTTGTAAGAAAATGATAAATGGAAAGAAGGATGATATCTACATGTACAAGTACGTATTTCAATTTTTGTTATTAATATTAGTTGTTTTACAGTAGTTGAAATTAATGGTTGAGTTGTTGTATCGTAATAATACAGTGAATCTCCTTTCTGTAGCGAAGGATGTCGAGAAGAACAATTGAAGGCTGATAAAAAGAAGAAAAATAAAATAGAAAAAGATATATTAAAAAGTAAAAAAGTTAATAGTGGACCAGTGACATTCCGTATAACACCATTCTGTTAGTTATTATCTAATCTCTTAAATCAGAAATCACAACTTTATCTATTTGTGATTTTTTCATTTTAGAGAATTTCGTATAAATTGATTAAATGTAAATTTTTTTATTTACCAAATAATATACTATCAATAAACTATCATTTTCTCTATTAAAACATACATCATGATTTCTTTGTGATCATTTATTTATTTAAACCATCCCCTAAAAAAATATTAAGGTATGTTTCTTTTTACCAAATAATATACTATCAATAAATTCTTATAAATAAAATTAATATAAATAAGAATACTACACAAAAAAAGAAATACAAAACTTAAACTTGAAATATTAGAATATTAATTTAAAGACTTATTCAAAATATTAGCCATTATAATTTCACACAAAAAATTAAATATTATTTTATGTGCTTTAATGTCTTAATTCATTAACATATGCTTTGTTTATGATATTTAGACCAACTATTCTTTTAATTTGTTAAATTGAATTATAGACCAATTATTGTATCTTCTCAAATATTCATTTATCATGCATAACAAAAGATATAGAAATTAGTAATTCAACTGGCCACTACACTCTCCAATAAAAACGAGAGTACTATAATCCACATGAAATAATATTTATAAAAAAAAACTTTATGTCTTTATGTAGATAATTAAATTAATTGTATTTAATGAATAAATATATATAAAATTTAAAATTCTTTTTATCTAGTATTAAATTATATATAATTATACATTAAGGACAACATAAAGAGAATAAAATTACATGAAAATATAATAATCTTAACCTAAATATGTGCCAAACCAAACCAAATTAAATTCAATATATTATTGTTATGAAAGTCAATAGCACTAAATAAGTCAAAATGGTTAAACATCAAAGTTATTAAAAGTTTACAAATTAAACCAAATGGAAACAAATAAATCTAACAAATTAGTATCCCACATACGTATAAAATAAGGTCATTCTGTAGACACATTAGTCCCATTATGACTGTGCAAGAGATATTATCAAACGCACACAAATATATATATTTCCATTAAACAAAAGAAACCTAATATAAAACAATGATAATAATTAAAATACTGTATTATCACCAAAATACATTTGACAGAAAATTTAAACTAAAACACGTCAAAAATATAAACAAATGTCAATTGTTAAACTAAATAAATATCATTTTATGTGAGAAGAAAGTGTGAAAAATAAAAATATATTCCAACGAAGAAAAAAAAAGAATGTAAAAAATGTTTTATTTAAAATTCAAAATGTATGATTTAGATGTATGGACAGGACAACCCATTATATTTTTATTTAGGCTGGTGAATGTATAAATCATTTCAAAATTTAATTGTAAAATTTAAGAATTTTAGGGGATTAAGAATTTTAGGGGATTATAATAAATTTATATGTTCCAGTTACGAAGATAAATAAAAAAAAATGTTATGAGATTAATTATCTTTCAAAAATAAATAAAGATCCAACTATATACGTGGACAATTATTTTTTTTTTTTGAGTTGATAAGCCTAAGTATCTTTAAAAAAATTTCATGTTTCATCTACTCTATAGTCCTATTTAAACTCTACCATGGCATGATTTAAAATTGGACTTATTGTAACATGTTGTGACTAATTATATAAAAAAGTTACTTATACAATTTAAAACTAATGTATTTTATATCAACCTAATAATATCCCTAAAAGAGATAGTAGTGACATTACATAATTCGATTCTTTTCTCGTAACTAAATTTTAAAATCAAGAAACCCTACTTTCAATTTCTGGGTGTTTTGTATGGACAGGGAAAAAGATGATAACCTAAATATTTA